TATATATATATATATATATATATATATATATATATATATATATATATATATATATGTATATGTATATATATTTCTCTCTCTCTCTCTCTCTCTCTCTCTCTCTCTCTCTCTCTCTCTCTCTCTCTCTCTCTCTCTCTCTCTCTCTCTCTCTCTTTCTTTTATACATTTAGGAGTAAGGACAGAATCAGACAGGGGGACTATATTTCTCATTTTTTCTTTATTCATATAATAAACTTATTACATGATCTTCATCTGCTACAAAAATATCATGCATCTTCTCTTGTTCAAAATAACAATTATATTTGATTTACACACAAACACGGGGACTTGACACACGCGTAGTCATGAAGGGAGACCAGGCCGAGACTTAGCACAAGAACGTCTACTGTAAGAGCAAGATTAACTATAAACGTATAATCTCTTTTATAATATACATACGTGCAAATATATATGTGTGTGTGTATATATATATATATGAGACCACTCGGGATTCATTACACCCCGAGTAGTTCTCGTTGTTAGGTAGTTTTGTATTTATTAGTGAATCAGCAATAGGAGTGATAATAAACACATTGTACATATAATAAGCAATACACAGTATTTCGAAATGAGGATAGGTAGATTTTGCATTTAAATATCACTAGATACACTTTTCTGTCACTACTTGGAAACACCAGATACACATTCATTTGGGTTTTAGAATGATAAAGATAAAAAAAAACGAAGTACAACAATAAAAAAATGGAACTGGTTTACAAATGCGCTGATTAACATGCGGGACTAATCAGAACAGACTATTTCCAGACGATTCAACAAGATAATGACCATTTACAACCATATGAAAGATATATGTGGTTGATCACAGACTGTAAGTAATCAGATAGGTGTACTTGGATTATCAACGGTCAGCTGAATACATTAAGTGTCTTATTCACTGTACCGTGAACAAGTACCGTATACTTTAACTCCGTGTAACAGCCAAGTGTACAGGAAAATACTGAGCCTTGTAGACGTATATTTTAGTATTGTACCAAGTGTCATCGGCCTGGTCTTAAGGATATGCATCACTTGTACTGGACCAAACGACCTGTAACTATGGAGCACAAACTGCAACAGTAATGACAATTTTCATCTCTGCCAACAGTCAGTCACGTCGAAAGTTTTGTCAGAAAAAAAACACCACATTTAAAAAATAATGAAAGTTTATGGGGAAAAAAGTATTGTGGGTTTTTCTTCTGCCGTTTTATCAACACAGTAAAGTGTATTGCCATTCGTCGAAAGTTTCTTTTTGTTTTGTTTTGTTTGCGTGACCTATCGCTTTCAGCATTGCAGTCCATCCTACCTGCCTAGCTCGAGGATGTCTGTCTGTATGTATGTCTGGCTGTATGTCTGTCTGTCTGTCTGTCTATGGTCAAGTGGAGTCTGATATAACTATTTGATAATTTACACGTTGGTATCGTCATAAGTCAAAGTAATGTTGACGTGACAGTTTTGTCGTGCAGTCATTGGTCGAATGTCACAAGCTAATGTCAACAGTCCGTCAGTATCTCTGTCAGCCTGGCTCTCTGGCGTCTCTTTCAGTGCTTGGAGGCGCTTCTGTCAGTCTAATAACCCACTGAAGCAAATGTCAGGGTTCTTGAAAAGACCCTTTCTTCTGTGGATGACTTTTTTCTCTCTCTCTCGCCCTTTTTTTCAATTTCCGCGTGTATTGCCGTCCTTTGAGGCTTCAATCACAACCAAACACTTAAATATTGTATCAATCTTTGCAAATATAGAGAAGCTCTAAAAATACAATTTGCTGTTTAGTCTCCTCTTTGTACTTGATTTAAAAGTCCGCCGGTCGGTTTGAAAAGCTGCGTCTTCCCGAGAGACCCTGCAACATTCACTTCAAAAGGTCAAGCCATTCATGATCCAGGTCAGGTTTCGAGAGACAGTGTTCAGAGTTCCATTATGTTCAACTTCAAATACTTGTAGTATTGATCGAATTAATCTAGTAAAAAAAATTCTTTTATCATATGTTCAATTTCAAATGTTTCTAGTATTACCTAAATGAATCTTTTACAAAGATGTGCTTATTACTAATCATGATCATTAATCTTATTTTGACAGCAGGTAAACTCACAATGCAAATGAGACCGGTCGTGGAATTAGTGTCGTGGTGCGGCTTCACGACTCGCTTCTACGAATATCGCCAACACACGACTTTCTCTCCGACTAACAGCTATTTTCCTTGTCTGAGTCCACGCTTTCTCCCAGTGTCTTGAGTCAACGCTTTCTCCGTGCGTCACTAAGTCAATACTTTCCCCCAGTCTACAGTCAGAACAAATCCATGTTCATTTTGCGTTTTTATTCCTGTGCAAAGGTGATGCATAGGATGCTACAAAGCCTGAGAAATAGGATTAGACTTTTTACAAAAATTCGCTTGACTTTGTTGGTTACGAATGTTTCGTAACTGTAGCCTTATTTTTGGTCCCGGGGTAACTTTTAGCACTGATCTAACACAGGACAAGTTGTCGAAGGACGGTGCAGGCATTTATGGAGATTGTCCGAGCTGTGAGTCCATAAAACTGTCAGCAAGATGGTAACGATTGTCATTGATTTGACGCAGTCGTCCAAGTTCACTACTTTTTTACAAGAAACTGTCTACTGTCTGGTTTCGGTAAAGATTGTAATGACTGTGAGCTAAATGATATTAACCTGCCCACGCTATAGCAGCAGGCAGCAGGCAGAAGGTCAGAGATAGGTCAGCAGAGTGACTACGGTTGTCAACAGCACAGTGCAGGTCGGTGGGCAAAGTGCCCGAACCGCTGTGGGGCGGAAGTCAGACACATCAAAATAAACTACAATATCACAGGTTTAACTCGTCACTTACAACACCTCTTATTGACGGGGAGATCCTTAGCGAGTAGAGCAAGAGGGCCTACGCTGAATCCCAGGCTTCCAGGGCGGGGAAAAGGGGCGCAGACCTTGTAAAACATTACATATGACTCGGGTATTGTCTGGAGGCGTCTGGGCCCATTATAACGCAGATGGGACAAGTTATCCAGTCGAGACTTTGGAAAATAGGAGTTCCATGAGCGTCACAGAAGGTGGGGGGGAGGGGGCGGGGTAAGCAAGATCGCCCGTCCCCCCGAGGCATTGGTGAGTGGGTGGTAACATGTTGGGCGGGGAGGGCGGCCCACAACCCGCCCTCTCGAGGCACTAGTAACAGGCTGGTAACATACGGTTATGTTGTACAGCACGATCCGGGCACCAGAGTACGGAAAATTTTGGAACCACGTGGCACCAAGTAGGCATTTAAAGCACCAAAATATATAAAATACTCCATCAGAACAATAATAAAAAAAAAAGAAAATAAAAATGAGGGAGGCATCATTCGTCGCTCAGCTTAATAGACACACGAGATGCAAGTTTCTGCCAGAAGCTGAGGACACTCATGTTGACAATGTCCTCAAGGTCAGCTGGACACTGGTAGTAGGCGTGGCTACAGTCCTCGCCGGCCACGCCCCTTTCAGCCGCCCAGTAGTAGCGGAAGAAACGAAACACTTCTTGGCTGTATGAAGAAGGCCTGGAGAAGGACTCGCTCTTCCTGTAAAATGAAGAAGAAACAAAGGTGAGTTTTTTTCCAGAATTTCGAAATAGGTTTTTTTTTGGTTAATTTGATCGTCTTTTGTTTATTTGTTTGTGTTGTTTGGTTTGTTTGTTGATTACGTTGTGTTGTTTGTTAATTTGAACTTACTTTGTTTATTTGTTTGTTCTTATTTATTTTTTTAAGCAATGTTCTTGTTTATATATTTTTATGTTTGGTTGTTTGAACATCTTTCTGATTCTCTATTAGCAAATGTCTTCGTTTCTTTGTGTGTCTGTGGGTCTGTCTGCGTTTGTTAGGTTACTTATCTGTTTCGAAATACCCCTAAACCGGTGTGTGTAAGCGTGTGTTAATATGTCCGTGTTTCAATTCCGAACAGACATGTACAAAAAAATAATATTAAATTCACAGACCTAAAAATATGCCATCTCATGTTACTATGTCACCAATTAAAAAGATAATTGACCACAGCTTATATGACCGTGTAGTAAGCATTCTTCAACAGACAAAACACGTTTCTCGAAAATACAGTTAGGTTTCATGCGAGCGCGGCTGAGTGAGGCATTACACTTACAAATATTCACTGACTGAGACCACGAATACTCAGACAACACTTAAAATTATTCTTAAATTTCTATTTTAAGTTTCTTAATTTAGCTCCCCTCCCCCCCAGTTTCCCTGTCTACCTCTACCCCTTATAAAGCATCTGGCAAATATGGCCCCATCGATAGACCGTTTCCCTTATAGAACACATGTAACATTTCAGCAAATCCTATTCCTGGTTCCTAATCTTCATTATGAATTCCCACTTCACTGTTAACCCCCAATTCCCACTCCTCATTCCCAATTTCCATTCCCCATCTCCACCTGATGCGTAATTCCCAATTCCCACATTTACTCATCATTCCCTGTTCCCACATTTACTCATCATTCCCAATTCCCATTCCCCTGCAGGAGCCCCTGTGGGTGTCGCGACAGAGGCGCCATGAAGCAGCAGCAGCCTGTCCGTAGATCGGGTGCGGTTCCCTTTGCAAGTCCTGGAAAACACGTGTACAAGGCCAGCGTGTTTGCTAATGCTGCTGCCACTGTCCACCGCGTGCTGTGACTCTTTTTTCCCCTTTTTGCTTTTATTAATATCAGTATTATGGTTTATGTTTCGCTGTTTCGTTTGTCTGTGTGTGTGTCTTTGTTATATCGTGAGGTAGTGCGTTAGGTTAAGGCGAAACAGGCTGTACGGTTCGGGTTTGTCGATCGGAGTTTTTTTTTGTCTCTCTCTCTCTCACTCACTCACTCTCCTTTTTTTTCTTTTTCTTTTTTCTCTTAATTGTGGAACTTGAGAATCACTTCAGCATGGCAACAATTGAGGTGTTCAGATTCAACCTTGTGTGCTCAGGGCGAATGATCAGTCCTGCCTAAAACCGCTGACACGCTGAAGTTTCGTGTCAGGAAAATTTTCTTGAACGAAATTAGACCGAAGATGCAAACCGTCGCGTGAAAACTGTCATCTGATTTTTGGCCATTTTTTTTATCGAACACCGGAAGCCACATTGTCACGACTCCGCCATATTTTACAAGTAAGCAGAGATTGTAAGGACAACCGCTTTTTACGTTCCAGCAAACTTTGTTAACAACCTTTTGTATATAAGTAAGCATCGAGCAGAACTGTGAACATTTGGCTAGTGTGTAACGTACGACGCGCACCGTATTTTGCGGAGATCTGGAAAGCCTTGAGGAATTTTTCTTTAAGTATTGCTTGATACCTGAAATTCAAGTTTCAAGGGACAGCCAAGTGGTACTCTACAATCTCGTTTTGACCAATACGATCTGATATGCCTTCACGCAAATAAATATGCAGCTGTAATGATTGCTGTGATAACATTTCCCCAAAAATAACACAGCGAGAGATCTTTTTTTTAGCTTACTTTTACCGTCAGGACAAAAAGCGATTAAAGTCCTCAATAAGTCTATCGGCGAGAATAAATACAGGATATTAATAACAGCACCATAAAAAAAAGTAGAAAAAAAAGAACGGGAAAAAATCACAGCCATCCAAATATATAAAATGTCTTTTCGATGTCTCTCTTTTTTCTGAATAACGGTTTGATCAATATTTAGAAACCGTAGACATCGAGACAACAGGGCGAGTCTGGCGCCAAGCGAGGTTATCTTAAGAGTTATACAAAGGCTTGACTGCACTCAGTCCTTTACTTCTTATTTCAGCTTGTAACACTCGTTAAAGAAAGAACAAAAGAAAGAAATACAATGATGCAAGTTATTGAAATTGTTATCATTACTCTTAATGTCTTTGCTTACTATTTTCAATAATCATTTTTATCTGGTTTATTTATTCTCCTTTTCTTTCAGTTATTGTATATATTTTGCTGTTTAAAATGGTTTAAGTATATTGTATTTGTATTTATAACGGTGAGCTTTCTCTTAACGGGTAAATGTAAATGTACGATAATATTGCATAATGACCTTCGTAATATTTTGATAACGTGTCCGTATATTCTTAACCTTTCTCTTTCTCTGTCTCTCTACCTCTCTCTTTTTCTTCCTTACCTTTTTCCCTTCCTCACCCTGAACCTTCTCTCTCTCTTTCACCCTGAACCCTATCTGTCTTATTCACCCTTAGCCTTTCCCCCAATATCTCTCCCTCACCCTCAGCTTTCTCTTTCTCCCAGGCTCACTAGCCCTCACCCTCTCTTTCTCCCTTTTCCTTCCCTTACTCTCAACCCTCTTACTCTTTTTCCCTCCCTTTCCCTCAGGTCTCCGTCCCTCATTTCCTCACTCTTATTCATCCTCGACTCTTAACCTTCCCTCACCCTCATTCTCAACCTCCCTCCCTCTCCTTTACCCTCACCCCACGACCTTTCACCCTTCCTCACCCTTACCCTCAAACCTCCCTTCCTTTCTAGCTCTCTTTCCTTCACCCTGATCCCTCCCTCCCTTTCTCCCTCCGTCTCCTTCAACCTTAAGTTTCCCTTTCTCCTTCCTTTCACCCTTTTCTCCCTATCACCCTTACGCCCACACACCCTTAATCCTCCCTCCCTCTCCCTCTCCCTCACCCCCATCCCTCTCTTTCTCCCCATCATCCTCATTCTTCCCTCCCTTTCTCCCCATCACCTTCATCCCCATCCTTCCCTCCCTTCCTCTCCCTCTCCTCCCCATCATGCTTACACCCACACCCATCCCCCCCCAACCATCCAACCTCTTTACAAACAACAACAACAACAACAGCAACAACAATACTCACTTCAGGGCTGAGAGAATGAGGTGCGAAAGGGGGCTGTACTTGGCAGGGTCCTTCGCCAAGTGACATATAGCCTTCATCCTGCAGGAATCGTCATGCACTCGGAGATAGTGGAAGTAGGCGTCGAGGCGGGAGAGCAAGGGGCCGTAAACTCTGCGAGAGGGAGAGAGGGGGAAAAAAAAATCAATAATCAGTTTCAAGATAAAAAAAAAGGTAAATTCGGTGAGAGAGAGAGAGGGAGAGGGAGGATGAGAGAGAGAGAGGGAGGGAGGGAGGGAGAGGGAGAGAGAGAGAAAGAGAGAGGGAGAGGGAGAGAGAGAGAGGGTAGAGAGAGAGAGAGAGAGGGAGAGGGGAGAGGGAGAGAGAGAGAGAGAGAGAGAGAGAGAGAGAGAGAGAGAGAGAGAGAGAGAGAGAGAGAGAGTGAAGGAGAGAGAAAGAGAGAGAGAGAGAGAGGGAGATGGATGTAATGTGACGTGGCGTGAAGGTAAATAATTATGAGGAATTATAAAAATAATGTATGAGAGAATGAAACTGATACAAGTAAATAAGGGACAGCAAACATTTTATTTTAAATACATATAACAATAATACTTCAGAAAAAAAATGATAGTAAACAAATGAGTTAACAAAACAAATTATCGTAAGAACAAAAAAAACAACAACAACAAACAAACACCAACCCTCAAAAAACACAGAAAAAAAAAAAAAAAAAAAAAAAACACGCCAAAAACAAAAAACAAACATCGCACACAATACACACCCGTTCTCGTATTCCGGATGCTGGGGGTCGTATCTGACGTCGCCCGAGAGAACGCGATCCACAGGCCCCCTGATGTCTTGCCAAGCATCCTCAGCATCCTTATCTCGACGACCTCCCACGTAACTCCTTCCGAAGAGGTAACTCGACCAGCTGGAATCCTCACTTCCGGCCAAGGAGTAACGCGAACGGAAGGCGAACGTAGGGAGAAGGAGAGTCACCGGGAGATAGACCACAAGATCTGATAAAAAGAGGGAAGAGAGAGACAAAATTAGATTTAAAAATAAATGACCGTTATGGATGGAATTTAGAGATATATGTTTCTTTTTCTTTTTCTTTCGTGTTATTGGTTGTGGAATACTGAGTAATTTTAACCCGATTCTTGTGTTGATATATTATTTTTCTGTTTTGTCGTTTTGAGAATTAATGAGTCTCTGACGAGTGTGTTTGTTTGTTTGTTTGTCTGTTTATTTGTTTGTTTGTGTGCATGTGTATGAATATGAAACACAAACCCACGCCATATAAAAACACGTGTGTTTGCCCATGCATATATTTAAACCAAGGTCTTATCATCAATTAAAAAACAGACACTGCAATATCATTTACATCAATGCTAGCCTAATCATCGTCTGGGAATCGTGCAGGTTGCAATCGGCACCAGAATCATGATCACTGCAAGTTTGTGACTGTTGATGAAGATAATGATAAGCGACTGTCTGCCCCGCCACGGATTATCATTATTGCCATCGCGGGGGTTTTCCTTTTAGTGCTTCGCTTATCTCCATTAAGGTAATAATTCGTGATATGCTTAATATTTCTAGTGATTATTTCCTAATGAGATCATTAATAATGTCTCCATCTTAATAAGAAGCAATCGTGAATACGTATTATAATCGGCCACTTTTCAGAATCGTTGCAAAGTGGCTTTAGACTAACATCCAATGCATTTAAGTCGCAGATCAAACCTTATTGCAAACATCGCCATCGAAACGGATTTCTAACACTGCATCTTCGAAACCGCATTAATTTCAAAAAATAAAAAAAAAACAACAACCGATATATTTCACAGAACAGGATTTCATTGCCCATTCTAGACTCGTGTTCTGGAGCAAGTCATTCGGACGAGGAGTGTGCTCTAGTTTTGTTGAGCTCCGTCTTATATCTAACAAGCATTGAAGGACAGCAAGGTAACAGAGAAAACCTGATGGGCTGCACTGGTGTCGACGTCTGGCATGCTTGTAAATTTGCCTTTCTATGCTGTTGCTGCTTTAGGCTCATTTTCTTGGGAGATTTTTTTCCCCTTCCTACGTAAGTCTATGTGAATTTGCCCTTTGGATGTTCCTGTCGAGACACCGTGTTATGTCACTCTTTGGAAACGAGATTTAATCCCCTTTTAATCAAAACCCGTGAAAATAAGTCAATAATACGCCTACGAGTCTTACATGACGCATATTTATTTTTATTATAATCAAATTTATGTTAAGCGTTTCTTAAAGCGAGACCTCATGTTCGAACCGTAACGCCTTCCTTAACCGAACGCAAAGGCACGTAGATGCACCGGCGATCAAAACGAAGTATAATGGTTGGAATTTCAAGCAGTCGTCATTAACCATACCGAGTGGGTACGAGGAGCTGCATCTCGGGAAACTTGCTCAGCATTTGCAAGGTCGTCTACTACATTCTCTCGCGTTGAGTTTTTGTTGCAGTCTACTTTACAGCTAGTAATGATTACAATTATTATCTTTACAAACTCTGACGCCAGGACACATTTCTATTTGATTTTGGCTTGAATTCTACTGCGTTAGTTAGGCTTTAATTAGGTGTAGGCTGGTGATCGGATAAACACTCGTTAATGTGTAAGGACGTTTGGTCATGTCTCGCGGCTCTCAAAGGTCAGAATGACTTCCTGATATGAATGCACCTCCTGAAGTGACGTGAAATCTGACTTTGAGAGAGAGAAGTAAATATGAATATATGCGAGGAAAGTTAAAAAGAAATATTTATCATTAAAGGCAATGACATACTACCTCTACTAAGCAAATACGAGGAACAGGAAATTACGTCACGACTGCAAGCAAACTTACTTTTATATAAAGTCAACAAGGTAATCGTGATAAGAAGAAAGTAAATTTCACAAAAAAAAAAGTATTACTTCTGTACCAAAAGCAGATCTAAAGACAATAAAATCAATGAACTAGGAGTATTTTTAGTTTACATCTGTACCCCCTTGATGATCATCCTGAGTCGCTGCATACTTCCTTTTCCTGTTTCCTTATGTGACACTTCCTTGATGGCGCGGCGAGTTCCTTATAACTGTCTTTGTCTGATGGCGGTCTTCATAATGCGCTCAGCAAGGAAATGCATTTACTCTCGTCATCATTACGTTTAATTTGTTTTCCCG